GAAGGTCCGCCCTCAGCCTCCCGTTGTGGACCTGAACGAAGACCAGGAGGAAGGTATTTTTCCTCACGAACCGAAAAGCACTTCCATGCCCGAGCCCCAGTTCCCAAAGGAAAGTATAATGACCCCTCGGCTCGGGCTGCTCAAGAGCAAGGATGTCATTTTTCCTGCCGAGGTCGCGGAGTGGGATGACATGCCTACGAGTCAGCTCAGAGGCCGGGCTGCCAACTACTGCATGGTGGTAAGTACCTTACTTTACATTTCATTTCCTTGTTTGCTTTTTTAAATGCACTTACCTCTATTTCCTTTACTAGGTGAACTCCGCCATTCATTCATTGGTCTACCAGTCCGAGGTCCGCCTAAAAAAAGCTCAGGAAGCTAAGGAGAAGGCACGGAAACTTTATCGCGAGGTTCTTTGGGCCAAGAAGGGAGCTCGGAGCCAACAGGAGTTGATCCTGGCGCTGACCGAGGAGAAGGGAAAGCTTCAATGTGAGAATGAGAATCTTGAAGCTATGATCTGAGAATGCGCCGAAATCTTCGAGACCGCCATTCAAGAGGCACGAGCTGGAGAGGGAGTGCGCCATCGGAAACTTCAAGGAGTCTCTGGAGTTCCACAACCTCTAGGTCGAGTATGGATCGAGCTCCTACCGTTCCGGCTTCAAGTTGTGTAAGTATCTGATGTGGCAGAAGTTCCCCGAGCCGGACCTCGGAGTCGTTTCTATGTCCGATCTTACCCAGAAGTGGCGAATCTCAGTTCGACAACCTGGTACACTGTGTGCGGGCCATTCAGGTCCAAATGCAACAGGTCCAGCAGTTCCAGCACTATTAACAGCAAGTCCTTCACCAATTCTACCAGCAACAATATCAGCAGCAATTTCCTCCATTGCAGCATAATCAACAACCGGTTCCACCCCGGCACCTAGCAATACAGTCGAATCAGTCTCATCGGCAGAACACTCGCTCTCCCCGCCAAGGCGAGACTTCCCAAGTTCCACTTCCTCTTGGGAGCCAGGTCTCACCTCGCGGTAGGAGGGACGGACAAGTCACTCCGCCCGCTTCACAGGGCAATATTGGAAGCAGATCCGGAGATACTCAGCCCGCCAGGGCTATTTTACCTCGGCCCTCACATCAAGAAGGTTCGCTTGCAGGAAACTGGTTTAGGGTTCTGGCCACGAACTCAAGGCAAGGCCCTTCCTTCCATGGCAGCCAGCCTCAGCATCCAGAGCCACTCCATGCCAGAACAGTACCCAACCACATAGAGGTCAGCAACACCAATGCGGAACCGATCAAGAGGCAACAGCGAAGGCGTCGCAAGGCACGCCGAACCACAACTTAGAATAGCCAGCTCGTCAGGCCCAGCCAGCCAGAGCAAGTAAGGGTAAAAAGGAAGCAATCTCAGCAGCCACAAAGACCGCTCCTCTCCTCTCCGGGTCATCCCCTTTGTCCTCCGAGCTACTGGTGACCCCGATGCCGAAGGACTTTAAAATGCCGCCTCTCGATAAGTATGATGGGTCCTTCAACCCAAATGACCATGTGGACTCCTTCCAGTCCTAGATGCACTTAGCTAGGGCTGACGAGTCCTGCATGTGCATGGCCTTCTCCACAACATCCAAAGGAGTAGCTCGCACATGGTACCGAAACCTCGTGCCAGGAACGATCAGAAGTTGGGCGCAATTCATAGAGATGTTAACCTCGCACTTCATTACCAGCAAGAAGTGCCCGAGGTCCCAAGAAAGCCTCTTCAATGTAGTCCAAAGAGAAGGGGAGTCTATCAGAAGCTATATTAAATGCTTCAATGACACCTACTTGCAGATCCCCGATCTAGATCCAATAGTGAGGCTCACGGTGGCAAAGAAAGGTATAACCCATAGGGAATTCAAGTGGCATGTCGTGGCCAACAAGCCAAAAGAGAAGGTGACAACACAAGTAACGGTGGCAACAAACAAAGAAAGAGCAAGTCCCCGACTAGGAGAGGAAACAAGTCCGGGAGCCGATCTCCTTCACGATCTCATAAGTCAGGTCGGCGTTCCCGAACTCCACCGGTTGAAAGGACGAACTACACACCCCTCAACGCAAAGCGAGGAGAAATCTTTATGGCAATCAAGGACTCCTCTTATATCAAGTGGCCACCTCGGTTGAGGGGGGACTCCGCCACCAAAAACAGGAATGTATATTGTCATTTTCACAAAGACCACGGTCATAGCACCGAAAATTGTAGAAATCTCCACGACGAGATCGAAGAGCTTATCCGTCGCGGATATCTAAAAAATTTTATCCAAAAAGAAGACAGGAACCAAGCAGATCGCCAAACAAATCGGTAGGGGGATCAAAGAAGAAATGCTCCTGAATCCAACAGCAGACAGAGTGAGCAGCTGCCAAGGCAGTTACCAGAAGAAAGGCCGATCCGCGGAGTAATCAATGAAATTCAGTCATAATTTTTTCTGATGCCAAATCTGTAATAAAATCTTTAGGCTTTGTTTGGTTGCAGTGCAATTATATTTGCACTAATACAAATGCTTGGGAGTGCAAATCAAAATAATGTAAATCCTGGTTTAATTTTGTTTTGGGTTTTATTTTATTTTGTTTGAGGTCTTATATTAGTTCATTTATATTACAATCAAACAAAATAAGATAAATATCCAAATAAAAATAAATCATAATTTGCATTGGAATCATTTGCACTACCATGACTTTGCATCAGTACAAATAAATTTGCATTACAACTAAACACAATGTTAAGTTCTCAGTCCTGTTTTTTTGCCTTGGAACCCTAATTCCTGGATATACTAAATCCTCTCTATTAACTTTTTTTTCTTGAAGTTGTTTCTTTTAAGAATATTCCAAGACATTATAATATGGCTGCCCATGCCTTTATCTCAAAAGGCTAAAGTTTTTGTAAAGTATTTGGTGGGGCAGGCCACTGGTTATACGTATTGAACTCTTTGTATCTTCTTTCTTTAAGTCCTTTATTTCATTCATCAAAAATGACTTAATATTCAAGTTTATTTATTAAATATAGCATTCTTATTATTTTTATTAGTCTAATCCTACCCGTTTGCAGCCTACGGTAGGTAGCCTATGTCCGATTGATTCTCTCATAAAATTACATTCCCATGCACTGTCCAATAAAATTAACTAGTAAATGCCAGGCAATGTAGGTGAGATTTGGCCCCCATATCTGACACTTCTCCACCAAAACTAAAAATAAAAAGCAAAAGTAACTGTTGGGTTTCTTTATCTCCATTACTTTTTATAATGGAAACTAGCGGAACCTTTGGACTTTTTTAAAGAAAGTGAAATAATAGAAATACATGAACATACTTAATGTTCATGTAACCTTTGGACTTTTTTTTTTGCTATTTATATTGATTTCTGATAATTAATGTGATTTTTTGTATCTGACATCTCCCCACCAAAACTATAAAAATAAGCAACAAAACTGTTGGGTTTCTTTTTCATCACTTGATCGGTTCGGTTCATCTTCTCCATTGGGCCTACAAGATAATGAAACCTCAGTGTTCATCGGTGTCTCCATGCACCCCTGCACCTAGGAATCTCCTGCAATGTGTGGTATATAATATAAAAGGATAAAAGCAAAAGCAAAATACCCAATTAAATGGTAGATCACGAATTGGGATATGCTCCCTGTGCGCCTCACGGTCACATGATCCCACCCTGTATTTGAGAACATCTCTCCATAAATAATAAATAGAAGTATGGGAGATGTTCGAAAACATCTTCTACCCTGTGCAGCCAAGACATGTTGTAAGATCACAATGTTGAAAAAGAGACCAGATCTGCTCCTCACAATTGGCGCCTCATATGTGCGCATGCATTGGAAACATTTCCTGTACTTATTAATAAATATTCATAGGAGATATTCTCAATACACGGTGGATATACTTATGAGGTGCTCATTTGTGAGGAGCAGATCCTGAAAAAGTGGGCTGATTCCATTTTAACTTTTTGTTTGATTCCCTTTTCCTTTCTTTTATATGTATGACTGTATTATAAATAAAGTGGTAAAGTACTGGGACTACGTAAAACAAGGTCTGTGTTGAAGGAAAGTGGTTCCAAAATTTTGTCGTTTAATGTGAGGGTTCTGAGGGTTTTCTCCCTTTATAGTTTTTTCCTCTTCTGATATACAAACACAGAGACACATGGATCATGGGATGAGTGATGGTGGTACAGACAAGGCGGTGTCGCCTCAGTTGATGCCGAAAGATGGGTTGAGTATGGCCGTGGCTACCCAGAAGTCTATGCGGCAAATGAGTTTCTTCTGGGGCAGAAATGTGGAGATTCTCTTCCCTGGTTGGCCTGAAAGCCGGCTTGGCATGTACATCTTGGCTCTCTGTTTCGTTTTTCTCCTTGCGGTAGCTGTGGAGTTGTTAAGCGTCACTTGGAGCTTCAGACCAGGGATGAACCCAAGAGTAGCTAGGCTGGCTCGTACCAGCGTGTACGTTCTTCGCATGGGTCTGGCTTACTTAGTCATGCTCTCTGTCATGTCCTTCAATGGAGGAGTATTTCTTGTTGCAGTCGCTGGTCATGCTGTTGGGTTCTTCCTTTTCAGGAGCCATATTTTTACCGGACCAAGCTCAGCCCGGTCTTAATGAAAACCCAATCAGGCAATCACCATCAACCTTACTGATGCTTGTCGATGCTTAATTTATTAGTTGATTTTACTAATGATGACTCTTCATTGTGCTTAGATTTCCTTTTACTTCTGTTTTCTTCCTATAAATAAATATGGCTTCCCAACATTTGGTTACTTAAAGGAAGAAGTTATGTAATTAATTGTTTTTGGTTTTAACTTTTAAGAGAAAATGAAGTGAAATTCTTTCTTTGTCACACAAAGATAAAAACCGGTTGCAATGGAACCCATTTGAACTATGTTTGATTAGTGCCCACATGACCTCCTCTATATCTTATTGCTTACGTATGAAAAATGGCATGTCTATAATCAACCTTTATTGCTTACTAACACTGGCCTACTTTCTTCTTCCATTAATCCTTGCTCTGTTCTGTATTCCCCACCAAAGTTAGATAAGAAGAAAGAAGATAAGACAGAGAAAGTGAGTGAGTGAGTTGCACCTCTATGAGACGCTTCTGGTTGGGTAATGGATCATCTTAGGCCAGCGGGTTGAGTAATTAATTTAATTAACAAAGGAGTGGTTAATCTTACATTTAACAATATATTTTAATTAATCATAGATGATGAAATGCATAAAATTACAAAAATTCCCACCTCAACGTTCCTTATTTTCTTTTCTTCATACTTCTCTTAAAAATTAATTAACCAAAAATATCCCCATTTTCTCCAAACCAAAGCATCTGAAATAACAAGAATCATTTCATTGGCATAAAAAAAAGTTTTTTTTTTTTAATTCTCGATTCATTTCACTCACAAGAATGTTTTCTTCATCTTAAAATATAAAAATTATCCACTCATTTCTCTAATAAATCAAGAAAACCTAAATGAAACCATAAATTCATATCTATCATTAAAAAAAAAAAACTCTACCATTTCATTATGAATATTGAATGCAACCAGAAATCTCAAGGATCTATTGAAGCAATTGAAAGGGATACAATGTTATACTTAGAAAATGAATCGAATCATAAACTGTTCAAATAAATAAAAACTTGGTAGATTGGGGATTTAATTTAAACAGCTAAAGGAGAATCTTTTTCAAASTTAACTAACATAACTCAAATGAAGGGGTTTTTGTTGTAAAGTGAAAGTTTATAGGGTCTTTGAAGCAAATGAAAGCTTAGGAGTATTTGTCAATAACACCATAATACAGGGGTCTTTATAATTTACCCAATACAAAAAGTATGATTAACAAGAAATCAAAATTGGGTCAGTTTTATATGTACAAACATATCAATGTTGTTTGGTTGTAAAGGGCATAAAGCCAAAACACATTTTTGCAAGTGTTTGGTTCATAAAAGCATGGAATAGTGGTAGATCATTAATCTAATTTTCTACTGATATCCATAATGAGCTCAACATTTAATCCAGTTTTCCATCAGGCATCTCAAACCATTGTAAGAAAAAAAGGCATCTCAAATGGCCCTGCTAAGAAATGTGAGATTGGAAACACAATTCGTTGCAAGGCATGAAAAAAGTTAACACATTCCATTCAAGGAATTGGTTCCATGAAAATCAATTGCTTATCATCAAATAAAACCAAAATCAGATATATATTTGGCTATAAAATTGAAAAAGTAAAAGAAAAAAAGGAAAAAGCTGAGTAGTGTTTTAGAAATGAAAGAGATACATAATAAAAATTTATTAGAAAAATGATCAAAACCATTGTTTGGACTGCAAAAACTCCTTAAAGACCAAACCTTGGTAGGGTTTCAAGACTAGAATTTAAAATTCTGACAATCCAAGCATGTGAGAATCAAATTCTCATTGGAGAATCCAATTCCCCCATGATCAATCCAGCACTAAAATGACCCAATTTTGATTTTAATACTTAAACTAAGTGTACCTGATACAAAGACCACAAAACACAACTCCTAAAGTGGTTGTTCACACCCAAAATTCAAACCCAAACCAAGCTCCAAACTGAAGATGGTGTAGCTCTATCAAAAGCTCTATCTTGCAACAAAACTAGAACCAAATTGCATACTAACTGGCGTGAATAATGTCCAACTGTGAACCACTTTCAATCTGAGTTTTTGTAAAAAAAAGAAAAACGCAAAAAGGTGCAAAATAGGCTTCTCAAGGCTATGTTAAACTAGGGTTTTGGGTGTTGGAGAGTAGAAAGCAATGTGCAAAATAATGCGCAAAAAGGTATGCATTGATTTCTACTTTCCTCTTATATAGACTTGCTAATTCTAATGTGATTAGAACTATCCAAATCTGATTTGGTTAGACTTCTAATTACTTGAGTAATTAGAGAGATCCATACCCAAAACCCATATCCATATTTGACCCAATGCATATGACAACTTAAGTTTTCATGTGACTAGTCTAACTAACTAATGGGATTAGGCCCATTACCAAGTAGTTTCTTAATTACATGAGTTGCAAGTCAATTGGGCCTAAATAATGTATAGCATGGAACACACAAAGCTTTCATATCAGTCCATAAAGGTTTACCTAGTGAACCCCTGAGCCAATCAAATTGGGCTTAATATAGGCTTAGCACTTAAGTGTAAGTGATCATTGGTTTCAATCACCCTATGAAGGCCAAGGACAATGGATTAATGCTAAGATAAAAGTCCTTCAAATTTCAGCCCTTAAAGGCCTTTTGCACTTAACCTCTTATAGCCCAAAATAATCAATCACCATACATAGAGAATGACCTCTTCTCTAACTACTAAATGTAGTGTCACACCCTCTACTAAGATGGATCCTACGATTGAAAACCTTTTGTAAACTCTTTCATAAATTAACATATTATAAATATAAATGTATTTTGCAAAATTATTTAAAAAATATGTTGAAATCCACTACTAACAATTTTAGATTTCCATAAAAGAGAGCATAAATTCTAATATTCTCTTTATTTAACAAAGGGGTCAATCCTATCACAACAATCACCGACTCAGACAGTATTCTAAATTGCTCTAATATACCAAAGTATTTGACCCTTATCTCACTAATTCACATATCAAAAGCAATTTAGTCCAAAAGTTGCAGTATCATTATTTAGTTTGGGGTAATTGCAACTTTTTAATTTTGTCCATTTGTCTCTAAGGTCCAAGGCATAATTAGAAATTGCCCCATGTTCAATGTTTGTCATAAACACCCATTGACTATACATTTGGTCTAACCCTAGAAAATGAGACAAATTACTCCACCAATTTGGTAGTACATCAATATCAACTTTGTCAAAATAAACTCCTCAAGTTTATCCAATGGTTGAGAACATTCTAAACTAACATAAGTCTCATAAATGTCCAGTTTATAAGATAACATATAAAAAACATATCAATTACAAATATAGAATAATAATACTCTAATTTCATAAAACTTAGAATACATCAATCTGATTGGATCTAAGGGCATAGACTGCCTAACACATGTCTAGGGTAGTGCAATCTTGGAGATGATATTAGATCTTTAGCAACAAAATGATAAATCAGTTTTCTGGCAATATGATTCACAGTTCATTGTCTCTAAGAAAGGAAAAAGATAAATAAACTCCAAATAAAAAGATTTGTCATAGGTATATTATCAGATCTAAAAAAGCTAAAAAAGGAAACATTTAACTTCAAACTACTGCAAACACTAACTAATCGACTCTAGATCTACATTAGGAAACAATAATAGCTAGAAACACCCCCCAGTTGGCTCTAGATCTGTAATGTTTTAGTATTTTTTTTTTTTCAAGATATGAAAGTATCATTCGTCTAATAGGGAAGAAACGATGACTAAAAACTTTCCCAATACCTTTTTTCGATTTATGATTCTCAGATTTGTGATTCATCTAGCAAGGAAAAAATAATAGGTGAAAATATTGTTTCCATTTTCTAGATCTATTATTCTCATATTCTTTCATTGATAAAGTATATTCTCAAATCTTTTTGTTGATTAGGTTGATTAGATTAGATCTATTTATCAGTTCACAGATCTTCCTATTGCAAGCCATACAAAATCAATACATTCTTTAGATTAGATTTGAGTAAAAGGAGGAAGATCCATCCTCCTATAAGAAATAAAAGCCCCATCATCATAATAATCACTGTACAAGAGCCACTCCCTCTATGAAGTGCCAAAATAATGGAATGAAAATGTTCTTCCAAAAGCTGGTAATGTTTTGCAAATGGATATTGATGGCACAAGAAGCTAGTTGCTAGTTGGTCGATGAGAGGAATCTCTTCCATTTACATCGACCATCGATTAAAGCAATAGTTTTGATTCAATTTTTTGGAAGCAAACTTTGTACTCGTTTTCAGGGTAAATTCAATCTTGTGGCCATTTTTGTCTCAGAAACTATAAACAATGAAGCCTCAAGGGAAGGGAAGCATCAAAGACCCTACAATTAACACTTGACATAAATCATTAAAACATGTATTTTTTTATGCATACACACAAATTAATCTATTGCAAATAGAAAGGACTAAAAAGACTAGAGGTAACCAAAAAGGGCATTAGGTAGAAGTAGTAAGAACTAAGAAATGATATAGGCAATAATTTAACAATATCAATGGCATTAAACAACAAAATAAGATTCACATAGCTGAACCCATATACTTGAGATAAGACTTGGATGATGTTAATGATGATGACCTTATGAGCACATATATCAATGTGCATTTTACTTTTTTCGCTTTCAATGCTCTGAAGCTAAAGGCTCAGTTTGGAATGAATGCAAATACAAATTTATAGAGTACAAATACATACAAAATAATACAAAATACAAGATTTTACACTCTACAAATTTCTATTTATAAGAGTACAAATACAAATATCTACAATATAAATACATACAAAACAATACAAAATGCAAGCTTTTACACTCTACAAATTTGTATTAACTGAGATTAATATGCAAATCTTAAGACTCAAACTCCAACCTATCATCTATATATTCACATAAAATGTAAATGGCAAGATTTGAACCCTATACAATTGATGTTAAAAACAACTAATTAACCGAGTGGTGGCTCAATTGGTATGTTAGCTGGATAATCCCAGCAGAGCCGCGGATTCAAATCCTGCTAATACCACTTATGTTGAAAAGTTAGTGTTTATTGTGTTAAGTACCTAAAAATAAAACCATACTGCCAAAGTGCCAATGCATGAGACATTTTACAAAAAGTTTTAAATATATGTGAATTGCGATCAAACCATTTGACCCATGACCCAAGAAGCATTCCGGTTTTCTGTCCCATCCGAATCTTAAAACATTGATGGAGACAAGGAAAAAAAGGTAGCACCTGTTTAGAGGGCCTTCGAGATATCAACTTAATAAAGCCGAACATACATCTCCAACATTATAAACCAACCCATACAGAATTATCAAAACCATTCTAACCACGTAAACGTTTTAACAGCCAAATTTTTCTCAACCTCTCATCAAGTTTGAGGAACAATTTTGCCCTCCTCTCATCAAAAGCCAGAAATTCACAAGCTTCAATAACGAGATCATCGCCAAAACCTGGAATTTTCTTGACCAACTCAAATAACTCATCCAAACCTACAGTCTTGCTGCTTTGCTCTAGAGCATCAGCTATCCGACCAATATTTGTAGCCATAGCATTCATTGTTTCTACCATCATATCAACAGTCCGTTTCCTCTTTACAGGTCTTTTGGATCGTGACAATAAATCTGGTCGAGCTCTAGTCTGCTGAGACGAAACTTCCATTCCCTCATCTATGTTGTCATTACTGACATCATCATCTGCTGACAAACACCGATCAGGAATCTCCAGGTCGTCACTGTCAGGACTCAAGCCCACATCAACTTTGGAAATATCTCTAGAATAATTTCCATTTGCTTGCCCATTGCCAAAGATAATGCACAACTCATCATAGTTTTCTACGGATCTTGCTCGGAGATACCTGGCATCTGGGTGTGCCTGCAATCGACATAGGTTGATTAAGTAAAATCATTATGTCACATTTGTAACTCATACAGTGAAACTTTTGTCAAATATAAATGTACCTTAATATAGTCATTCCAAACAGAGTCATTTGCAACAACCATCTTCTGTGTTTCGTTCCAGTGGAAGCCACTCTGAGAGAGCAGTTCCTTCAGAACAGCATACTGTTTCTTCCATGTTTTAAGCCGATTCCTAACATGATCTTTTGTCAGGTCAAGTGCAAATCTTTCATTTAAAGCTCTAACAGCAGCCATATATGCTGCATGTTTTAAAACTTTATGCCTTTTATTCCCCTGTTTAACTTGGTCTGCAAGTGTCACAGCCAGACAGCGGTCCATTTCATTAGTCCACACTAAGTACCGCCCCTTCTCTTTTGCATCTTCACTGTGAGTCTGAGATGCATCAACTGTCTCAATACCCTCATAATCAGTAGCAAAGTCCATATCAACTTCCTCATTGGGTTTGGAACAACTTTCAACTGCCTGCTCATTGCCCATGATAATGCACAACTCATTATAGTTTCCAATGTGCCTTGCTCGGAAGGCTTTGGCATCAGGGTGTATCTGTGAGTAATACATGTTAATCTAAAATGTATCAAAGGAACTATGACAACGAACGTATATAAACAATCGCATACGTGAAAAAGCACTCTCACGCCCATGTGGGCATGCCTTAAATGGAAGATTGAGTTACAAATTCTGAAAGCATCTTAACTTTCAATCATTTTGAGTAATATATATACGAACCGCAGAGAATTCCTTTGAAAAACAGAATAGATTATATCACATTGTATCAATTAATTGAGCAACATATTCAGGAACACTTTACCAGACCTTTAATGGAAAAAAAATGAAGGTCCTTGCCACTGTATAATCATATGAAACCCCTGATAGGGCTACTTATCTGGCATAGAAATACCTGAAGTAGTGGCAAGGATGCCAAATTTCTATTATAATTAATATATTCCATTTTATTGTATTAAAATTAATGAAATTTAGGAATCTAAGTACATACAATAAAATGAAAAACAACATTTCAAATGATTTAAATAATAATATAATATGAGAGGGCCATTTAGTGGGGAAGACCAAGTGACCCAGGAATCTTCCAACAGCAACCTAGTTAGGAGCCCAAAAGAACCCAACATGGGGCAAATTTCAACCTCTATTCATGGGGTAAATTTCAACCTAAGAGAACTAGCCACATGTAAACAATCCACCCTTATTTCTGGGAAAGTTTTATTTTAAAAGCATTAATTTTGCAACATCTAAAATATTAATTTGGAAAACCACCAATGCAAGATGAGATTGAACATATGGCCATCCAGAGGTTCCCAAATCTGGTCGATAGTTTGGGAACTTGCATATCATCTAGATCCATCCCTCCATGTGGCTGAAATAGGAAGGTTATGTCAGGAAGATCCTACTTCAACTGATTAAAAAAGAAATCTTTTTTTCAAAAATAAAATCAGAAGTTGTTAGCATCTAGCAAACTTTTTTTTTCCTTTGAAGCATTTGATGACAGAAATTAACCAAGTTAGTCGAACGTGTGGCGTACCTTGATGTAATCATTCCAAGCAGAATCACTTGCAAAAACCATCTTTCGTGTCTCATCCCATTTGAACTCACTATGAGAAAGTAGTTCTTTTAGAACTCCATATTGTTTCTTCCAAGTTTTAAGCCGATTCCTAATGTGGTCCTTTGTCAAGTCAAGTGCAAATTTTTCATTTAGAGCCATAAGAGCAACCTCATATGCCATGTGCCTCAAATTTTGGTCTTTTATGTTACCCTGTTTTTTTGCTTCCTCTACAAGAATCTTAGAAAGGCAATGATCCATTTCATCTGTCCACACAATGTATTTACCTTTGTCCTTTGTTTTGCTACTATGAATGTGAGATGTATCAGTGGCCACTATACCCTCGTTGTCAGCACTCAAATCCACAACATCCACATTGGTTCTGTAATAGGTTACAGGAACATAATCATTGCCCAGGATAATACACAACTCGTTATAATATTCAATGAATCTTGCTCGGAAAGCCCTGGCATCTGGGTGCACCTGAAAGAAACATAACTTAGCAAGCAGTATCATAAAAGATTCTACGAATTCAAATTGAGTAGAAAATATACCTTGATGTAGTCATTCCATACAGAATCATTTGCAATCACCATCTTCCTTTTCTCATCCCACTCAAAACCATTTTGAGAAAGCAGATCCTTTAAAATACCATACTGTTTCTTCAAAGTTTTGAGCCGATTCCTAATGTGCTCTTTTGTCAAATCAAGTCCAAAATTTTTGTTTAATGCAGAAACAGCAGCTGTATATGCAGAAGAAGTTAAATTTTTATCTATTTTATTTCCCTTTTTCACTTGCTCTGCAAGTGTTTTTGTCAGACAACGATCCATTTCATTCCTCCACATTACATTTTTTCCTTTTTCATTTGTGTTGCCATTTCGAATTTGAGACACATTGGGATCCATTCCTGGCAATTCAATATTAAGTACGGTAAATATTGTGTTTATTACAAAATAAATTCAGCATAAAATAAGACAATGAGATCATGTAGTTCAATGATCAGACTAGAGATTTATGTTTGTATCTCAGCAAACCTATCGAAAAGGTGAGGCATAAGTTGTACCTCAAAAACAACAAAAGCTTCAAATAGTGTACCTAAAGCGAAGAGAAATGGGAGCTTACATATCATGAACTACAATTTAACTTTTAGTTTACCTTACCAAAGACACAAAGCATGTGCCCACAGAGGAAGCTTATACAATACAAGATTTGTCAAATCCATTTACGAATAAGCAGTTACAATATACTCTCATCAAGGTATCAATTTCACTTTTCTCCCATTCATATATTCCTCGTGAAATAGAAAACTGAACGTTGTCAGTTTGCCTGACCAAGTTGAAGCCAAATGATGACATATTCTTGAAAGAAGAATATTATTGTTTGCCTTTGCCTTTTCATTTTCCATTTTTAGGTTTAAAATAGGAGTCTGAGACTTTAGGACACAAACTTTATGTATTGAATAAATAAAAACATCAATAGCCATAAAATTTAGGGTAAATTGCTGAAACCTCCCCTGAAGTTTCTGACCATTGCTGAAATCTCCCCTGATGTTTGACAATTGCAATCACCTCCCCTGAACTTTCTGATATAGTTGCAAGCGCTTCTTTAGAATCTTCTAAAGAGGCATAAAAATGTCCAAAATACCCAATACAATTATTATTGAGCCTGGTTTCTACAGAAAAAAAAAACAATATAAATTTTATAAACAACAAAGAAATAGAGAATTTAAATTTGCAGCTTTGCCTTTGAATGATTGACATGAAGGGCAAACTTGGAAAACAAATCAATTTCAGAAAAGAGATTTGAAGGATTTGGGCTAGGATTCATATGAAGAGAAAATTTGTAAAAACAAAAATACATTTTGGTTGAAAGTACTGCATGGGTATTTTGGACATTATAATGTCTCTTTTTAGAAGACTCTAACAAAGGGGATCTACATGCAACTATGTCAGAGAAAGTCCAGGAGGTGACTGCAATTACCAAACTTCAGGGGAGAGTTTCAGCAACAACCAAAAACTTCAAGGGAGGTTTTAGTAATTTACCCTAAAATTTATAATGAGCAAAACTTGAACTGACACATCCTAGGGTGCAACATGGGGTGGCCAAGATACCGACGACCAACCTCTGTCTTGATCAGCACACAACCTGTCACACCCTGGTCTGTGTGTCCATATAGGGGATTGAACTTTCAGGGTGGGCCCTTTAGGATGAGCCACATAGTCCACTCCTGAAACCTTTCTAAGACAGTCTGTGGTCCCACTACAGAAGGTAAGGTCGACATCCCAAGTGGTGGGTCATTATGCATTTTTAGGTGGAGGCAAATATATCGAAGACATTTGAAAAAGGGGAGTATAATATTTTGACATTAATTTTTTTTTTTTTGTAAATTCTCCCAAAGGGTAAAATCCATGCTAATATTTATGATAAAGGTGATAAAGGAAGGGGTGCATAGCATGAACCAATGAAATTATGTTGTAATAAGGCACTATCCTTGTAAATTTTGGCACCTAGGCAAGCATCTCATAATCAGTCCAACCACACTTGTTTATCTCTGAGATTGGAAGAGGAAGTTTTTTTTTTATGTAGGGGAAGGGGTGCATAGCATGAACCAATGAAATTATGTTGTAATAAGGCACTATCCTTGTCATTTTTGGCACCTAAGCAAGCATCTAATAATCTAAATGGTCACCTTCTACACAAAGCAAGAGACTTTCTTAGATTGTTCCAGGCATTCAGTTAAGTGAAGCCCCACCCCNCAAACACCTTGTCACCTAGGCAATGCCTTTGACAATAATACATAAATTCCTGCCGTTCTCAGTCCAACCACATTTGTTTATCTCTGAGATTGGAAGAGGAAGCTTTTTTTGATGTGGGGGAAGTATTAAAATAAAGTTCATTAAAATAAAATCACATCTACATAAGGTAGATGCAGTCAAAATTTCAGCAACAAAACAAAGCATTAACCTCCCCCCCACAACTGCAAAACCAAACTTGATGCTGGCACAGTGTCCATAAACCCTCACAAGAATGCCTACCCCTCCCTGAGCCACCTCCTAAGTCCTAACGTAAACCCCATAAAGGAGGATACAGAAAATAAATTTAACCATTCTCTCCACTTCCAATTCCCACCTCTTCTTGGGAGTTCACTGTCACCTCATTTGCAAACCCACACAACATACTTGTCAGTATTTATTATGCTACCAGATGTATCCTCCCCTTTTCAACGACTTCTCACCTCTGGTAATCCCCAAAAGCATTGTCTAACAAAGACAAATCAATTTGAATGCTCTGCATATCTTTGCACATCAACTTGATTATTTTCATAGTTGTGTCCTTCAACCTTCTTTTAATATTAACTTTCTTAGCCATCTTATTGGAACCAATACTGAACAGACACCCTCTTTGTCAAGCAAAGATCTGTGAAATTTGTACAATTCTTAGGTTCTTCTGCCCCTTGAAATGCCTAGCAACAGTAGATTCCTTCTCTATCTCCTATGACTCCTTATCCTTGTGATTATGAATCACTGAGGTATTCTATTGTATATCAAATTTTCTTCTGCCTAGCACCACCTCAACCCTACAAATTTGAATTTCAACACAAACTCCAATCTGCAAATCTAAACCCTTTATCTGTTGTCCTTACCTCTCTATGACCCTGAGATTTCTGCTCTTTCATGAAAGAATCTTCATACTCCCATGTTTCTATATCACAACTAACACCTATTACCTCTCTTTCCTGAACTTCAATGAATCCTCTCACTTGTTCCTCGTTTGTTTCCACTTTTCCATGTGGAAAATCTTCCCAACACCCTGTCCCTCTCTTCATCTTGATTATATAGCTAAACTATCCTCTTTCCTCCCTTTCTTTCTTTTCCAGATTCTTCAAAAGTTTTCCTTGCAAAATCTTCTTGATCAAGAAACACAAAACCCAATACTTTACAAACATTAGTTCTGTCTAATCTGAAATCTTCTTCATAGTTTTAATCCTTTTCTTTTTCTTACATTTTTTGTCATTAACCATGAATTTCATTAATGACTAAAAGAAAACTCCTCAATCTCCAAATAGGATAGAGAGAAGACAACGCAATTCATCTTTGGCTTCCATACAAATGTTTCAAGATTGCACTAAGTTGGATTTACATCAATTCCTGGGCCTGGTGTTCCCCAAAGAAGTTGGTCCCTGGTTACTCCATTAGTTCTAAGGTATTATCTAATTTGGTATCCATTTGAATGAGCAGTTTGGCTGTCAAAGGCAGTGCTTCTATAATCATCTGATGAAGTACCCAGGGGCCCTCATTTTTCTTCTCCAACCAACTAAGCATTACAGTCCTCTTCCACAATCAAGTTCGACTATCCCAAAGAATCAACTATTTTCAGGCCATGTATGAGTGCAAGAATTTGAGTTCTCAAGGAGTTTCCAGCCCCAATGGCCCAGTGAAGCTCATGACAACAATTCCATTATGATTTCTCAATGTTGCATAGACAGGCACAAGAATTAAATTCTGACATGTGCTCAAGAGCCCAACTCGGAAAGATAATAAAACATGGATTTGTAGGCACATCTGTTAGACAGTGCATGCCCTCAGCTCCAATAGGGCTGATGTAAACAGATATTTGTTATTGAATAAATTCAGTGCATTATTGCTTCATGTGTGTTATAGTGTGTTTCTGTGAATTACTCCTTAACTATGCATTTATGAGACTTATGTTATCATGTCAAGGTCAATACTCAAGTGCTATCAAATTGGAGTATGTTGTATCAACTGCTCAGGTTAGACCTGAGATAATAGTGAATGGGTGTTTAGACCCTAGACCTTGGAGAGAGAGGGGTAAATTGGGAAGTTGCATTTAATCCCCTGACTTGATAATGATACTACACTAGGTAATTGAACTAGCCTTCTTTTAATATGCCAACCAAAAAGATTCTTTTGGGGTCAAATACTTGGATATGTTGGAGTAGACCGGGAAAATACTTGAGCAAGTGATCATTGTGATAGGATTAGCCACTTTTTCGGACAAAGAGAATATCTCGGTATAAACTCTCTAATGGAAGCCTAAAACTGTTGGCAGTGGATTTCAACTTGTTTTGAAATCGTCTTGCAAAATATATTTATATTATAAATAGTTTATTTTGATAAAGAGTTTGCAAATTGGTTTTAATCTCGGGATCCATCTGAGTGGAGGATGTGACACTACATCCTGCAGTCAGGGAAGAGATCCCTCCCTATCAAAAATTCTGAAATTGGTACAGGAAAGGAAAAAACTGATTTATTCTCCAATTTATTCTTTCCTAGCTCCAATATCTGCATAAGGATATCATTCATGAGGAGTCTATAATTGTTTCTTCAATATCTTCAAGGACAGGTTTTGTTCTATATAATCCTTCTCACGTATATGTTTACACACTTGAATGCCCCTGAACCTCTGTTTTGTGATTTCTCTTGTCCTTATTCACCCCAAATGACATCTGGTTTCAATATCTTTGCCTCCCACGTGCTTCCCATGAACCCTGTCAGAAACATCCCTTCTTCCAATACCTCTGTTGGATGAACCTTCCTCTGACACAATAGAATGTAACATCCCCTTGCTTCATGTCTCCACTTGAAGATGAACATTCAAGTTTGAATTGATACAGCTCCAGAGCTCCTCTTTCTTCTCCTCCATACCACCTTTATTTGCCTCATCAGAACCTCTTTCAGCTTCCAACACAACAGATACCTCCACCCCCTCCCCCACCATTTTAATCCTTCACCCTTATAATGGGGAGCTCCACCTGATTCTTAGGCAACGAGTACTTGCAGGGGCAAGGGTTTTTGCTGCACAACCCACCAATGTTAACTTCTTCTTTCTTCCATCAACATGATCTCTTTGTTGATGCTGGTCAGAACCTCCTGTCAACCCACTGTTCCTGTTTTTTACTCATCATTTTTAACCCCATTTAGGGGCCAGTACTTGGTGCAATGTTAAAATAGCAGGCTGGAATGTGTGAAAACGGGACATGGAGACCATTGGGTGACCAGGAATAAGACTGGAAGACGTAAGAATAGTATGATCAGTAGATGTAAATGTGACAGAGAGGAAAGATGAGTAGCAGAGCTTAGAGCTGTGGTGTATTTGTGGTCTGCTCCTCTTTTGAAGTACCTTCTGGTGTAATCTGTCTTTTAATTTTCCTTTTAAGAAAGTAACTGCATAAATTAAATAATGAGACTGCAAAATGATATACACGAGAGGATGAAAATGCTGTACAAGATATACTAATGGAGCTCCATTCTAAAGCAAAAAAAAAAATTAGTGAGGGATAGCATAGCAAGATCATCAACCAGTATTCTGTTCCTTGGGAATCTTGGGGTACAAATTGGGTCTCACTGGATTAGGAATTTGTTAAATTTTCAATGGCCCAAAGGCTGAGAGTTGGCCGCCATTTTGCTTTTAAGGGTGTAATTGATGTGGGTCTGTATCTTTTGGCCACTTTTTTTTCTGATGAGTTTATCTGTGGCTACATAGATAATTGAGGACTGATATTAATCTTCAGTTCAGGTTGTATATAGGAATACAAATAAATCGAATTGAATTCAAATAGGAGTATATCTGAATTTGATTCAATTTGATAGCATTATAAGATATCTGATGCAAAACCGATTCAAATTCACTTACAGTGAAATTTGAAAATCTCAATCATGAAATCTTTCTGAAAATCTCAATATGACATGGCGGTATATCTTACAAGGATTCCCAACATGAAACTTGAAAGAATTGAAGAAAAAAAATGTAACAGAAAAAGGATGTGAAAAAGGAGAGGTACAGCAATTATAATAGCCAACATTGAAATCAAATCTGTTTTTAAATTTAGTAAAAAGTTCAAACCAAACCTGTTTTGATCTGAAACCAAATCTGTATTTGACCCTTCTCTACACTGGTTATAATTCTACTGCAATGGTGTTGAAAACCCAGAAATTGCAGACCAGTAACTGCAAGAAGAGTGCTCCTCTGACGGTCGCTATCTTCTCCAACAGCCCCAAAGAAAATTTCTCTGACAATGGCATTGAAAACCAAGAAATTGCAGGTGCTCTCATACCTACAGTTCATGTAGTTGATCTTTTAGTTTGAAATCTACCAAAGATCTCAGAACTGAAAACTAGAGAAAATACAAGATTATGAAAAATGAGAGAGTAGACAAAAGGCTACTTGCAGCAAGTCTCGGGCATACGGCATTCAGCATCAGCATCAGATGTTGAGGGGTTTGCCTTTAAAGATGAGAAAAGAGAAGAGACGAATGGTATTAGTGTTTTTCACCAGAAGAAAAAGAGATGAGAAAAAAAAATATTATAAACTTGATTTACATATCTAGTCTGTCTAAGATGACAAATTACAATACTTCTACATAAAAGTAAAAAAAAAAAAAAAACAGTTGACAAGGGTATAATAAATCTCTAATAAGTAGAAAAGAAATCAAATATTACATATAACTATATATTATATAACTAAGAGATCAAATCGGCTTATATCTGAATTTGATCCATTTAGTTAACAGATCAGGTTTCCCAATTTGGTTAGATTTGTTTAGAACAAATGGGTATCCGAATCCAACTAGTTGTATGTGTGGTTTTCTGAGCGGGGTTTCATCTAACACTTTATGCATAGAGAGTTGGGTTTGCATGGTGAGGCCTCTTTCTTTTATGGGTAAACCCTCATGAATCAATATGACAGAAAGATAGAACATGTCCCACAAATTACAATACCTTTACCTAATCAAGACCATGCACATGGTTATGCATATAAGCTGTACACAAAAAGAAGAATAGAAGAAATAATATCCTTTTGGTGGTTCCAAAAATAATTTGCTCTTGGCCCAAAAGAGTCTTTTAAGAAGGATGACCACCAAACCTTTTCTGTTTTCAAGGAAGTGTGGCCTCTTTCCTCAGCTCCATTTTGCTATATTTCTTCCATTCTTTTTCTTTTATGTACCTTAGCCGGCCCATTTACATGTTGATTACCATTTGATTGTTTCTTATCTGTTTATACCATTTTCCTGTAATTTTGAAAAAGATAAAATAAAAACAGTGCCCCTCCATCTCAACCTACCATATGACAACAGTAGGAAACACAGAGAATGGTGTAATAAAGAGCATAACTGTGTATGATGGACATGGAAGGAACAGGGACAAAGGATCCATGCTAGTGGAGATATTGCTAATTTGAAATTGACAAGGATCCCATTCAAATTGCTGAATGGATGTGTGTGGTGTGGCCCCAGTCCTTCATGCATCTCTTATTCCAGCATATATGACATTGCTGAAAACAAACACGCAACTATCCAAGACTGAGATGACGTTGACAGGGGTCATCACTTGGAAACCATACCTCAAAAGACATCTTTGATTGGGAAGCAGAGAAGCTTTTTTATCAATAAAAAATCACCAGCTATCGCTAATGGAGATTCTAAGCCGACAGGTTCCTAACCAAGAAAGGGAGGACAGAAGGTGGTGGCCAGGTAGTAGGAATGGTACCATCATAGTGAAATCATTCTACAGGTCACTAATGGACTTTGTGGGTTCTGAGGTGGATTGGAAGTGAATGAAGATTCCATCTAAGGTGGTCTTCTTTTCTTGTATTCTATCAACGAGAGATTACTCACCATAAATAACCTACTATCGAAACAGCTTTAGAGAATTCCTGTCAACTGTGCAGGGGTGCCAGTGAAAGTGTAGAGAATCTGCTAATACACAGCTCATCCTCTTTTACTATTTGGGCTCATTTTGTGAAGCTGTTTGGTATCCATTGGGTAACTCCAAGAGACGCGGTGGGTCTGTCTTGTGAATAGCCTTCTTTCTAACCATTGGTTCCCTTTGGCCTTATGCCAGTCCCTATGGTCAGAAAGAAACAAAAGGATCTTCGATAACAAGGTCTCTCCTATTAAACCTGAACTTGGGAAGGTGGAGCGGTGATGCAGTAGGGCTGGAACAAACTATCACAAGGCAGAAAGAGAGAGGAGAAAAGATAGAGAAAGAGAAAAGAGAGAGAAATCCCAAGGAATAACTCCACGGGGTCCTAGAATCACTCTAGGGTTTGTAACTTGCAAAAGTGATCTAAAGAAATCTTCATTAGCTTCAAAAGGAAGAGAAGACATCTATTTATAGAGCGACTTGTGTGGCCCGGAATACTGTTCATAATTACAAAAAAAAAAAAAGCCACTCCTTGTCTTGTGCATCAAGAAACATAATAACTTTCTACCTACTAATGCAAATAAGCTGAAAATTGAAAGAGAAGCACTACTAAGCTAGAGGAACAAGATGCTATAGCCCAAGCCCACATGAGACTAGTCAAAATGATGAAAATACCCCTGAACAGGTCAATCCAAGTCCCAAGAGTCTTCCCCATGCCAAATCAGAACCTGTTTGTTCACCTTCTTACAAGACTAGGTCTTATCACTTATGATGCCTGGACCAATCCCCATCAAGAGGACCATAATCCAATGGCCAAGCATGAAGAAGAATTTGCAGGTTTGGAGTTTCATCATTTCTCCAGCACATGGAATCTGATTCTATCTTCAAACAATGCTGTGGATAGTTCTTTGTAATTTGATTTAAGGCGAGGCGAATTTTAGGGTATGCGCCTCGCCTATGTTAGGGTCTTAAATTCTTAATTCACTCACTTACCAAAGCTCCGAGAACCCCCTATTTGCTAATGTTGTTCATTCATTCATCCTAATAAAATATCTTCTTAAAAGGCAATTAAAACTATAAAATCATTATTTTTTGTGTGAAATTAAGAATTTAAGACCCTAACATAGACTTGTTTGCCCTTGCCTCGAGGGGCATGGCACAAAGGTGGCTTGTAGAATCATGAATGCAATATGTTTTACATCACATTAGCTACTTGAAGTAATGAAATTGAGGAAAAAAAGAGATTGTGAGTTGTTTCAAAAAGGCACACGCCTAGACCCTTCAGCAAAATGGTGTAGCTAAGAGGAAAAATAGACATCTTGCAGTGATAGAAACATGACGTTCAATTGTACAGTGCCACTTGTTTTTGCAGTGTTGCCATTAATACAGTTGTTTATCTCATTAACCACATGCATGCCCTTTTGTATTTTAGGCTTCAAGACACCCTTTATTCTTCTTTATCTCGATGAAGATTTATTTCTTGTTCCTTTGTGTGTATGTGGGAGCATCGTTATATGCAACATTTCCAAAACAAGGGCCCAGCCCTTACGTTTTGTATGTCTTCATTCCTTTCTTTTTTTTCTCATAAATATGTCGATCTAATTATCCATATCAATATGGGAACCTATTGCTAAAACTAAGCCAAGCAAAGAGAGAAACATGGAGAACTTCGTCACGGCGACAAGGTGGAGAAGGAAAAACTGCTACTGGAGGAATCCAAAAGAGGAGAAATAAGTTTGAAACTTAGAGAAGATAAACAAGCAAAATTTTATCAGGACCTGGAGGTGCTGCAATGGTTGAAAGGCTTTGTAGATGGATTAATTTACTTGGTGAAGACACGAGGTTGGAGGAATGACATCAGCGAAAGGGAGAAAGGTTTATAGTAGAGAGAAAAAGAAACAGCAGTGGCTGGTTTATTGCCTTAGTAGAAAACTAGAAATCTTTGCAAAAGGAAGAAAACAACTAATTTGCTTACTAGAAGGTAGACAAAAACAGGGGTGGTTATCGATGGCTAAGGCCTTGGAAGAGTTCCTGGAAAATTTTGAGGAGGCTATGGGAACAGGATACACCAAGGATAATGGGAAGGAAGCTCAAGCGAACACAGAACAGGACAAACCGGTTAAAGAAGAGAAGAGGATGGATGCTAATCAAGATGGAGATGATGTTGATGACTGGCAACCATGTGGCATGAGTTGGGTGGATTGTAAAAAGAGTCAAAGCGACACCAAAAACTTGGAAACTGAAAAGCTGGAGGAATTAAGAACAAGCCAGCTTCCTTTAAAAGGCTAACTTTTCAAACTATTTTGAATTTAATCCAATGGTCTAATCTATCACCAGACCAATCTGAGCCAAGCGACAAATCTGAAGCAAGACCAAAACCAACTATTACTTGCCGGTCAGAGAAAGGTGGTATTTTAAAGAGGCATGTGCCCTCTTAGGTGCCTTCGGTTGGGATGACAATTGTGATCTACCATCGTCCCCATCCACACCTCCAAGCAGCCCTTCGATTCTTGAAGCAAAAGCTGTCCTTCTCGCTCTAGATCTCCAGGGAAGAACATGCAATGTAAGAAGGTAATAGTGAAAAACTCAACAACTCTAGATACACCTAACTACCTAACCCACGCTATATCATAGAACAAAGCTCTGACTCTGAGGAAGAGACTGATTGGGAGGATTTAAGGGGCTTAGAAGAAGAGAAAGTAAACCAGCCGTCAAGCATTGGAAGTGTGGATTCAACAAGGGGTTATAATTTCATGGAGTTAGAAAAGTTTGGTAGAACTCCTCTTTAAAGATTACTCGGGAATGGAAATTCTGAAGCAGAAAGAAACGGGAGTGGAAGAAGTCACCGCTGACTATGGGGGATCCTTAGAGGAACCACAAAGTGAAGAGATGGTGGGAACAATTTAGACACAAGAACAAAATGTCCGCAATTGGGGTATGCAGGTCCGCAATGAACCAAGCTTAGGAACACAAGGAACAGATCCAGTTAGTGTTGGACAGTTTTGTATGCCCTTAGCTCCAATCAGTTTTGATGTACTTTTGATATTTAATGTAAATAAATAAAGTACATRTTTGATTCATGTTGTGTGGTATGCTTCTGTGTAAGACCCTTAAACTGGACACTTAATGAGACTTGTGTTAGTTTAGAACATTCACGGTCGTTGGATAAGTCTAGGGAGATTTATCTTGCCAAGGCTGACACTGGTGTGCTGCCAAGTGTTGGGGTGGCTTGTCTCAGTCGCCAGGGTGAGACCCAAGGCACATGCAATGTAGGATTACTTGAATCCTTGAACCGGACCAGATTTCCAGTATTGCCCTGGACCTTGGAGATTGATGGGAAAAACTGGAAAATTACACCTGACCCCTAGACTCGATTATGATACTACACTAGATGTCGGATTGAGCTGTCTTTGATATGCCAATCAGTGAGATCCTTAGCGGGGGTCAAAACCTGGGTATGTTGGGACAGTCTGAGAATTAATCTGAGTGGGTGATCATAGTGACGGGATCAGCCCCTTTGTCGGACAAAGGTAATGATCGGGGATGCACTCTCTCTGATGGAAACCAAACTGCCGGCAGTG